TTGGTATTATTAGTTGCCTTATAATATAAAAATATCTCAGATGACATTATTTATTGCATTTCCTATGAAAAAAAGAACTGAGCTCTGCATTTGATGTACTTAAAAGTTAATGAATACAACCTACATACCCTGATCATTTACAGATAAATATTTACTGATGAATATTTACAGATACAGTACAAAGAGAAAACTTTAGTACTGAGAGCCTGTGGAGGCAGTAAAAAGGGTGGAATTAATCAGGAAATATTCTTGGTTCCTTTTTAAGAAGGAGGGAGAAAATTGAAGCTGCAAGGTTAAAGAATAATATGAAGCAAGATAAAAGAGCTTCCCTGGTGGCTCAGATGGTAAAGGATCTGCCTGCAATGCAGGAGACCTGGGTTTGATCCTTGGGTTGGGAAGATCCCCTGGAGGAGGGCATGGCAACCCACTCCAGTATTCTTGCCTGGAGAATCCCCATGGACAGAGGAGCCTGGCAAGCTACAGTCCATGGGGTCACAAAGAGTCGGACACGACTAAAGCAACTTAGCACACACAGCACAGTCCTGACGTGCTGCCTTTGGAGTCAAAAGCTTTTTGTTATTTGCCTATAGTTTCAGCGTGTTTTTCCTTCATTTTTCAGGAGAGTTTGATGTATGCATTTATCTACCTGTGGTTGCAGGGGACAGTCAGGACTATGACATACACACTTGCCTGGGCATATATCCAGAGAAAATTCTAATTTGAAAAGACACCCACACCTCAAAGTTCATAGCAGAATTATTTATTAATACAATAGCCAAGACATGGCAGCAACCTAACTATTCCTTGACAAATGAATGGATGAAGATGATTACATATATATATATAATGGAATACTACTCAGTCATAAAAAAGAATGAAATAATGCCATTTGCAGCAACATGGATGGACCTAGAGATGATCATATTAAGTGAAGTAAGTCAGACAGAAAGACAAATATCATATATCACTTATATGTGGAATCTTAAACAAAATGATGGAAATGAACTTATTTACAAAACCAGACCACCTTATCTACCTCCTGGGAAATCTGTATGCAGGTCAAGAGGCAACAGTTAGAACCGGACATGGAACAACAGACTGGTTCCAAATCGGCAAAGGAGTACGTCAAAGCTGTATATTGTTACCCTGCTTATTTAATTTATGTGCAGAGTACATCACATGGAATGTCAGGCTAGATGAGCACACGTTGGAATCAAGATTGCCAGGAGAAATATCAGTAACCTCAGATACACAGATGACACCACCCTCATGGCAGAAATCGAAGAACTAAAGAGCCTCTTGATGAAAGTGAAAGAGGAGAGTGAAGAAGTTGGCTTAAAACTCAACATTCAGAAAATTAACATCATGGCATCTGGTCCCATCACTTCATGACAAATAGATGGGGAAACAAGGGAAACAGTGGCAGACTTCATTTTGGGGGGCTCCAAAATCACTGCAGATGGTGACTGCAGCCATGAAATTAAAAGACGCTTGCTTCTTGGAAGAAAAGCTATGACCAACCTAGACAGCATACTAAAAAGCAGAGACATTACTTTGCTGACCAAGGTCCGTCTAGTCAAAGCTATGGTTTTTCCAGTAGTCACGTACATATGTGAGAGTTGGACTATAAAGAAAGTTGAGCGCTGAAGAATTGATTCTTTTGAACTGTGGTGTTGGAGAAGACTCTTGAGAGACTCTTGGACTGCAAGGAGATCAAGCCACTCAATCCTAAAGGAAATCAGTCATGAATATTCATTGGAAAGACTGATGCTGAAGCTGAAACTCCAATACTTTGGCCACCAGATTCGAAGAACTGACTCATTGGAAAAGACCCTGATGCTGGGAAAGATTGAAGGCAGGAGGAGAAGGGGACGACAGAGGATGAGCTGGTTGGATGGCATCACTGACTCAATGGACATGAGTTTGAGCAAGCTCCGGGAGCTGGTGATGGACAGGGAGGCCTGGCGTGCTGCAATCCATGGGGTGGCAAAGAGTCAGACATGACTGAGCAACTGAACTGAACTGATTTACAAAACAGAAACAGACTCACAGACATAAAAAACAAATTTATGGTTACCAATGGGGACTTGGGGGGGGTCGTAAATTAGAATTTTGGGATTAATACATACACACTACTATATATAAAACAGATAACAAAGACCTACTGTATAGCAGAGAAACTATATTCAGTATCTTGTAATAATCTATAATGGAAAGGAATCTGAAAAAGAATATATAAATCTCTCTGTATATCTATATAGCTGAATCATTTTGTTGTATACCTGAAACTAACACAATATTGTAAATCAACTATAATTCAATTAAATAAATAAAAATAAATTAAAGAAATATAGAATAGTACACTTTCAAAAAAAATAAACACCCCTAGATGGCCATGCTGTTGGCCATTCTCAATAAGCTGGATTTTTACAACTTGTCCGCAACTCCATTTTCAGGGGGGAGTAAAAGAGCTGGGTCTTACACATGGAAGACTCTGTATGCTGTGGTATGTTTACTGAGGAAAAAAATTAAAAAAAATAGGTTCTAATTTTTTTTGATTTGTTGATGAAACTGATCAATTTCCTTCTAATAGTCGTATTATTTTAGCAGGGGGGCATTTCTATTTCCCCCATTTTCTTAAGCACTTGAATTCTATGAACTTTGTGAAATGACTGGAAAGTACTAAAGACAAACCATGGTAAAAGGTTAGCTGCCATCATCCAAATAGTTGGTACAAGATTATTTGTGGACCATCCCAAAATGAGGCTATATTAGAAAACAAGGGGGAATAAAGACTAAGATAAAAGACTAAATATTCAGAACCTTTGGTTGCATTGACAGAAAAACCAAATAAAACTGATAAACAAACAGCACAATGTATTATCAACACTTCATCGGCTATCTCATAGAAACTAAAGATGTGACTTAGGAGCAGTCAGTATCTAGGGTTTGAACAGTCAGGATCCTCTGATTCTCTGGATGTTCCGTCATTTGGTCAGAAGTCCCCTTCTGGAATAACCAAGATGGTTAACTGGGTTGATGTGATAACACAGCAGTTATCAGAAGACTATGTGCATGGTATGGGGAGAGTAGAACAGGAAGAAAATTCGGTTTTCAGAAGAGATTTGTATCAAATAAATCAGAGATGTCCACCTTATTGAAAAAATAGTGAAGAAGCTAGACAGCAAGAAAAAATGGCTTGTCAAGTTTCTGTTTATAAATAACCAAGATCAATTTCAAGGGTAAAGTAACTCCCGCCCATTTAAAGGAAAATTTTCTTCATTTAAGGACATCCTTTGAAAGATGTACCAACAAATAGCAACCTGTAAGGCGCTTGGCCTACTGTGCAATGCTTAACTACCGATCTTCACTGTGCACTCATCATATGCAAAGGACTTCTCTGGATTCTGAGCTATGGGAAAGAAGTTGCAAACATGACTAGGTACCTCCTTCAAGGAGTTTATATTTTAGAAATCTGGAGAAGGAAAAGTTTAAAGCAAGCTATCATAACTAGGTCAACCTAACATAAGGACAGATTGCTATATCCCATATTTTCCTCTAAAAAAAAAAAGAATTTGTGGTCTTAAAACATTACATGATGCACCACGATTCACAGCCTGAACTACATTTGAAGTCGGTCAGAAGGTGTCCTCAATCATACCCTGCAGACTGATCACACACACTACCACCTGGATTTAGCTGACGATTTTCAAATGAAATCTTTTTCTGTGTCTCTGTTTCTCGCTGGCTCTTTGGAAAAAGACCAGAGAGGAAAGGAAACTGTAGGTTAGTTTTATAAGTATGCTTGCACATTCACCATCATCATTATCATCCACAAGCCTGGCTTTTAAAAGCCTGGGACTTCCCCGCTGGTCCAATGGCTAAGACTCCGAGCTCCCAATGCAGGGGTCCTAGGTTCAATCCCTGGTCAGGGAACTAGATCCCACATGCCCGCAACTAAGACCTGGCACAACCAAATAAATAAATATTTAAAAAAAAAAAAAAAAAGTCTGGGAGGCAGAAGGGCGAAAAAGGAGCTGGTGAGAGGAGGTTTTGGCGGAGGATACCAGCAGGTGGCGCTTGTCCCCTCCTCCGAGATTAGAACTTTGAACTCACCCTAGAATCCTGTAGGAATCAAGCGCTACTTAGCCAGCACGGTCAGTGCAAGTGACATCGATCATGCGGTACTTTAGATCCATCACCGTTCCGCATCACCACTTAAAACATAATCTCCCCCTCCATCAGGGGTTGAATTACTTTCTTATTTGACCCGCATCTTCTTCCCCTAGCTTAGTCCCTCACAAGGTCGCTGCTCAAGTCTTGGGTATAAAGCCTTAGAGAGTTGGAGCCGAAACTTCAGAAAGGAGGGGGACTTCATTAACCTTCTAACTGTTCTACTCTTATGCTGTCAGGAGTTCTGACGCCCCTGGTGTTGGTTTGGGCAGAAGGTGATTTCAACTGCAGACGGGCACGTCAGCTCCCAGGCCCCACAGGGGCTAGAAGCAGCTCACAAGGTCACCTTGACGAATACCTGTGCGCAGGCTCCAACCGAGACCAAGTTATTTTATAGTTGGGGTCACTGCCTTTCTGAGCCCTCCAGCTCCACCGAATTCCGGGCTCAGCCAGCCACAGCCAGCCCCTCTTCCTCACACGACAATGGGTTCTGTCCACCATAGGAACGACTTGCATCTTGAAAACTCCTTCCTTTCTGTGCCTGTAGTTTTCTGCCATTGCTCAGAAAACCCTCTGCTCCACTCCTAAGCTGTTCGCAGCGGCGTTCGGCCCCGGCGTTTACAGAAGGAGCGCAACCCTAGAGTCCGAAGGCTCTCCTTTTAAACCCAGCTCCGCCTCTGACTGGCTGGGTGACCTCAGACGGGTTTCTTCACTTCCTCTGTGGGCTGAGGGAAACAGTTTTTCCGCTCACGGGGTCCCCTGGATTCCTGAGATCACGAATGCCGACTATGGAGACCAGCGTCTGGCCCACTGGAGGTGCCCAAATGCTAGGGGCGGGGGTCGTCTGTTAGCCTTATCCTACCGTGAAACACTGCCTCTGGGGGTTGGGAGGGGACTCGAAGTCCAATAATCCGAATAATTCGCAGAATTGAGATAGGCTCTCGCCTCCCCCGTGATCTCCCTGCGTCCAGCCCCAAGCGAGTACCCGGACAGCCCGGCGCGGGCGCGCGGCAGCAGCCGGGGCCCGCGCCCGGGGCGGCAGAGGCAGGCTCGGGGCTGGACTGACGGCTCCGCGGGAAGGCGGAGCAGAGAGCGGGCGGCGGAGGAGGGGAGAGCCGCCGGGAGGAGGGCGCAGGGGCGGGAGGAGATACATGCGCGCTGCCCGCCGCCGCCGCCGCCGCCGCAGTCCTTAGCTTCCCGGGGACAGGAAACCTTCGAGACCGCGCTGCCACGGCCGCCTCCGCCTCTCGGCTCCCGGTTCCGCGCGCCTGCCACACCCTCCGCCCCTCCTCCGGCATCTCTCGGCGGATCGCCGCGGGGACTCGGCCCCGGGCTGTTGTCTCCCGTTCCGGGGGGGAAAGGTGTGACCTCCCCCTGCAGGAGCGGCTTGGCGGGGCGGGGGGGCCCGGGAGAAGATGGCGACGCCGGGAAGCGAACCCCAACCTTTCGTGCCTGCCCTGTCGGTGGCTGCGCTGCACCCGCATCATCATCCCCACCACCACCACCACCACGGAGGAACCGGAGCCAGCGGCGGGGCCGCGGGAGGCGGCGGCGGCGGCGGCGGCGGGGGCTTCAACCTGCCCTTGAACCGGGGGCTGGAGCGCGCGCTGGAGGAAGCGGCCAACTCCGGGGGCTTGAACCTCAGTGCCAGGAAACTGAAGGAATTTCCCAGGACCGCGGCCCCCGCGCACGACCTCTCGGACACGGTGCAGGCAGGTGAGAGAGGGCCGAGGGCGGGCGGTGGGTGTGGGTGTCTGGCGAGCTGTCGCGCCTTCCCCGACGCGGTGGGCAGTCTGAGATCTGGCCTGACCGGGGGGTCCAGCGGCCCGTGCTGTCCCAACGCAGGGACCCGCGTGGGCGGTCCGGCCGGAGGAGAGCGGGGCTGCTCCGGGCCGCCGAGCCCGCGGGCGCGTGGGTCCCCCCCGCCGCGGCTGCGCCGGGGAAGTGGCCGCCGGGCTGGGACTTGCGGGCGCGCCGCGTGCGCGCAGTGGAAGTGGGAGGTTTCGGGCGGCTGCGGCCGCTTCCTGGGCCCGGCGCAGGGGCTGGGGACCCGGGCGCCGCGTCTGCGCCTCCGACCCGGGCAAAGCCCTCTTCGCGCCGAGGCGCCGCCCGTCCTGTTGGGAAGCCTCTAGACAAAGGTGGCGCGCCCTCCGCCGACCCGAGGGCACCGGCGCAGTGCCGCCAGGCCCCCCTCGGCGACAGCACCGAGCGATCGGGCAACTTGTGTCCGCAGCTTCCTCTTCCTGCGTCTGTGCGAGGGGGGAGCGGCGGCTCTGGTCGCGAAACCGAATCGCAGCCGCTTCGCCGGGCTGTCGACCCGCTGGTTGTTTGCCTTCAGCTCACCACCGCCCACGCGGTTTGGTCCTGCCACCGAGGCTACCTCGTACTCAGTAATCCGATCTTTGCGGGGGCCCTGGGAGAGACGGCAGGGTATATTAAAAAAAAAAAAAGTAATTAAAGTGAGCCGGTTTCCATCCGTAAGCCCGACAAGTTGTAACTCGCGCCAATGAGCATACAGCGTTTTCAAGTTATGTCATGTGTTGACATATTTCTGAGAGGTCGGCTTTCCCTTTGGTAGTTGGAGTTACTGGAGCAGGATCTATAAACAGGAAGGAGGCTGGTGGAATGCCATACGGGCCTTGGGGTCCTGATAGAACTGCCTGGGTTGCCCACCGTCTGGTTTCAGTTCCTTGGAGGAGGGTTTGTATCTTGGCGCGCGCCCAGCACTTCCCAGAGCAGTGGGTACCCCATTTGGGAACCGCCGACCAGACCTCCTGGGTGTCCTTGCGTGACAGGCCCGATTGTCAGATCCCCGGGGGATCCTGGATCACTTGACTGTCAGCTCCAGATCTCAGTTTCCTCTCCTGCGGGAAGATGGGAGTCGGGAGAGGGGGCAGACAGTGGCCTTTTGGAGCTAGATTCCAGCGCTCCCCTCTTTAATTCAATGCACATTTATTAAGAGTCCTGATGAATATTTAGACGAGTTCTGAGTTAACTAGAGGCAGAAAGCACTCTTTGGGGCCATTAAACTTTGTAATTTGGATCTAGGGATAGTCAGGAATGGGCAAAAAGGAGGGAATTTCCAGAGTTGAGTTGTCAACAGCTGGGGAGGTTCTTGATCGGACCACTTAGATGCAGTTTCTCAAGTAGAAGTTATTTCAAGAATTGCCTGGATCATTAACTTAGAAAAAAATCCGTTAAGTTGGACTTCCCTTTTGCCGCAGATTGTAAGGTGAGCTATGGCAGGATTGGATATGACTGCCGAAAATGTAGCTGGCAGGATATTCATTTCATTGGATATGAAAATGGAGCTGGCAGGACCAATGAAGTTCTGTGTCTGTCTGTTCAGAAGGAGGCACTGAATAGTGTTCCTCTACTTCTGACGTTTGTTTCAAAGTTGGGTGAACTTGATGTGTCTGCCCTACTGGTGTTTTTTTGGAGAAGACCAGTGCTTTTAAAAGCAGAGACCACCTCTTTCAGTTCAGACCTAACCGTGTGAAGCATGGTGGCGTTTAAAACAAGATTTCCGTTTTCCTCTGTTTGCTTGTTTGTGGTGAGCTGTGGTTGTGAGTTCTGCAAGTTTTTAATTCGAAAGCTCACTTACACATGTTCCATGTGCAGAAAATTCTAACTAGTTAAATCTTGGAGGCTTAACCTTAGTGACAGTGAACTGAAAATGTTAGTTCCTCAGTCGTGTCTGACTCTTTGAGACCCCATGGACTGGGCCCACCAGGCTCCTCTGTCCATGGAGTTCTCCAGGCAAGAATACTGGAGTGGATAGCCATTCTCTTGTCCAGGTAATTTTCCCAACCCAGGGATCGAACCTGGGTTTCCTGCATTGCAGGCAATCTTTACCATCTGAGCCATCACGGTTAACTCCCTGGGGACAAAGGCAATGTTAACTACGGGAGGAGGAATGTCACTGGAGTTTGTAGAAAGTTAGGAAAACATATGCGGTAAAGAGTATTCAATATAGACAGCTCGTTTACATGAAATTTCATTACCCAAATGTGTTAAAAGAGTTGCTTTTGCAAAAACGTTTTTGCCTCAGGTCAAAGCTGGGTGTAAACCTATTGTGTTCTGCCCTTTACTCTGTTTACCCGGAGCACTGTTCCTTATTTGGAAGAGCAAAACGTGAAATAAAGCAAGAGTTAAAATTACCTCCAGCGTGCACAGTGCTGACAGTTCCTGCATATAAAGATTTCTAGAAGAGTGGAGTGTCTGAGTAGTAACATATACAATGAAGACAGTGGATTCTCTGGGGTTCATACTTAGTTTACAGAGCATCTCTTAAAATCAGAAGGACACACAAAATCCTTAAAGACCTGAGATGTAAAGTGGACTTTTTCATAAATTTTGTAAGACAGGGAGTGACAGAGAAAGCTTTATCTCCCTGTTCAGTTGTATAATTCAGGCCATTTGGTTTATGCCTTGTAAAAGTAACTCTTCTGGCAGCCACCCTAAGCAGAACTGCCCTCTTGGGCAATGTAGCTTATCTGGCCAGGAGTTGAAAACCCAGATGTAAACATAGAAATATAGAAGCCCAGGGCTGCTCAGTAGATGTTTAAGCTCTGTTAATCAAGTGCATACATCCCTTTCATAGGAAAAACGAAAACAAAAAAACAACACTCTCAGGCCTTCCCCCTTTCTTTGAGCCAATCAGTTTACTCATATTTGAGTGCAGATAGTTTGGTTGTCAGGATCTAGACTTCTGGCCGGTGAGCCTGGGAAAGAAGGGCTGTGTGCTGGCATAGCTGACCCTGGCTGAATGGGAGAAGAGCCATGATGCGCTCTTGGACTGGGCTGTGCATCACCCTGTCGGGTCCTTGTGAGATGCCAGTTCAGATCCTCTTGCACAGCTGGGGAGAGTTGAGTTCATACATGCTCAAGGTCATCGCTCTACTTAGATGCTAAACCAGGGATGGAACCCTGATGATTTCACTCTAGCGTGTGTGTTCTTGACCGTGGTGCTACTGGTAAAGAGTCTGCCTGCCAGTTCAGGAGACATAAGAGATGTGAGTTCAATCTCTGGAGGAGAAAACAGCAACCCACTCCAGTATTCTTGACTGGGAAATCCCATGGACAGAGGAGCCTGGGGAGGGCTACAGTCCATAGGGTTGCAAAGAGTTGCACACGACTGGAGCGACTTGGCACATACACACACAGGGAAGGGGTGGGGAGGAGTAGAATCCAGGAGGGCACCTGGAGATTCATTCTGCAAGTACCCACCAAGCACCGCTCAGCGCCAGGCACTGTTCTAGGCACCAAGGATGCAGCAGGGACCAACAGAGACTCCCTTGACCCCTTTGATGGAGCTTTCATTCTCCTTGTGGATGAGGGAGGAGATCATTGAAGAAATAGATTTTGAAGGATGAACTGGGAAGACATACAGGAGATGTACGCTATCTTCGTTTAGAAATATACATGCTGCCTTGTATTAAAGGTGACTTGTAGCTTGTAACAATAGCACAAATGGTAGTAATAAATATGAACTGAAGCAGAAAGTCAGGTCTGAGAAAAAAGTACACAAATAGGTGCGTTGGGAAAGCAAACTTGTTGTTGTTGTTCTGGTGCTGATTTATTAAATAGTGTCATTTGGGGATAAGGAGGTGCCAGAGGGTGTTTGTATGACTGAAATGAAGTGAACTGAAAAGAGGAGTAAGAAAGGAGTCTGTCTCAGGCTGATTGCTGGAGTCCTGGAAAATGACAAGGAAAATCTTGGACCCGAGGTACAGAACAGTTGTTGAAAGTTGGTCACATTAAGGAGAGAGTGGGGTGTGTTATTGCTGGTATCTTTTTTAGGGGTGGCTGGAAGCAGGAAGGGTGATATGGGAAATGCAGGGCTTGCCCAGGGAGGAGTTCAGATGAGAAAAGTACTCAGTAAGGTCCTGTATGTGCCAGTGGTGGTGCTGGAGAAGATGTAAAGAGTAAGACATGACAGGAGCACACGTGAGATGCAAAGTGATCTTTTTTTTTTTTTTAATAAAACCCCTGCATCTTCTTTTTTTTCTTTTTACTATGTAATTTTTTATTTATGTGTTTATTTACTTTGGCTGTGCTGGGTCTTCGCTGCTGCACGGGTTTTTCTCTAGCTGCAGCAAGCGAGGGCTCCTCTCCAGTTGCCGGTCAGGGGCATCTCGTTGGCGGTGGCCTCTCTCGTGGCAGAGCACAGGCTGCAGGTCAGGAGGGCTCATTCGTTTCGGCTCCCCGGCTCTAGAGCGCAGGCTCAACAGTTGTGACCCATCGGCTCGGTTGTTCCAAGGCATGTGGGATCGTCCCAGATCAGGGATCGAACCTGTGTCTCCTTCATTGGCAGGTGGATTTTTTTTTTTTTTTTTTTTTACCACTGAGCCACCAGGGATGCCCCCTTTAGTTTGCATCCTTTAATTTAAAAACAAAATACGAAAAACATGATACACAGCCTTCAATCCCCCCTGTCAAATGTGGGAAGGAATAGTGCGTGAGGCCCTGGACTCCTGCCTTAGACAGAAGGACGGAAATAAAACCACTGGACTTCAGCAGAGGGGAGCAGGTGGGCCACGCCGCCGGGGCTGCTCCTGGGGCGGCCACGGGAACCAGGAAGCCATGGGGACCTCAAGGTGCGACGCTGGTGGGACAGATAGACATTGTCTGCAAAATTCAGAAAAAAAGGTCATTTTAGCTAAACTGGCTAGCCTGAGATGGGGTTTGCGTCAGGTTTTGTAGGCTGGTTAGGT